AAAGAAGTTTCCCTGTAGCATCAACTCGAATTTACAGAGAATAAAAGACAAGTTGTAATTTACATGGTACTTATTTAAGAGAATTCCAACGGAAGATGGAAAAAAAGAGTGAAAAAGGAAATGAAATTAAATTCATTACAAATTGAAAACCGTGTAATTACTGTGCCTTCATTGTCTCCGTTTCGGCTCCAGAGTATATTCGGGGAACACTTGATGATATCAATCCGAAGATAGCCAAAGACAAGTTCCCAATAAACTCCAGCACCAACCCAACTGTACAAAAAAAGAGATGTCAGATGCAACAACGTATGCGCCACTCATAGAATTCTGAATTTTAGTCCATCCGCTTCTAAACAGTACACCCAGCTCAGTTTATGAATATCGCTTTGCTGTCTCGATTACGACATAATTCAGTTTTTTTTCAAGTTTGGCTTCATCGTTATTGCATGAGTTATAAATTCCGTCATGAACATGACTGGTGCTACTACAGTTTACAATGCCTTGAAGCTTACAATCTTTATTTGAAGTTTACACAATCACCATAATAACACAATTACAAATCTCATACGATGAAAAATCAAACTTTCAACGATCGTCCCGGACAGTTGCAGTACGCTGCATCATGGCCAGGACGACCCCTTCTTCCAGGTCTTCCCGGCAATCCATCTGTCCCTGGTGAACCTGGTGCCCCGGGAGGGCCCTGAATACCCTGTTTACCTCTCTTCCCTCTCTTACCGTCTTCGCCAGTATCTCCTTGATTACCCTGGCAACCTGGTGGCCCTTTTGGACCCCTCCTTCCAGGAGTTCCAATTTGTCTTTCCGTATCTTCACCCGGTGGGCCGGTTCTTCCAGGAGGTCCAGGAACGCCATCAGGCCCAAAATCTCCAACAGGTCCCGGAGGGCCAGGTGGACCATCAGCTCCAGGTGAGCCATTCTTTCCAGGTTTACCATCCACCCCGGGATAGCCCATTTCGCCTGGTTGGCCGGCTGGGCCAGGTGGTCCAGCTGGACAAGTGATGCAAACAAACGTATTTGGCACTGGGCACTGTCTAATTTCATAAATCGGCGGTGTTTGGTAATCATGTCCTGGTGGTCCTGGTGTTCCTGGCGCTGAAATGATCATATTTTAGCTAAATTTTGCAGTCGAAACAGCTTAAATTTAAGAATTGCACGCAGCATTTTAAATAATTGTAATGATTTTGGTACTCATTTTCCAGCAGAACTGGAAGTAACCTCTAATCCGCTAATCACTTTTTGCGTTTTTCCCTGCCGTACATCATTACACATGCTTCTTTTAAGAGGGATCTTTAGAAGAATTTACTGCTTTACGACTGCTTCACATCCCTTGAGTGAGGGATTTGCCTCCTTTCTAACCTACCTCTCCCTGTCTAAATTTTGTGACTCGTGACTAGATTTTTTGGCGGTCCTGTGAATTTATCTTTCTGCACAAAATTTGTGCTTTATCACCTCATTTTCATGCAAAAGAAGGGCTTCTTCCTTTACTGCCCTGGGTCACTGCGGGCGTCTCACAGGATCTAAGCATTCAGTTACGATGTTTTGGCTAAGCAAACGAGGTGACTGTCACAGTAAAAGCAATAAACACCAATCGAAGAGTTGATAATGTTTTACAAAAGCGTGTTATTATAAAGAATAAGTGATTCTTCTTTTTCTGGAAGAGGCATTTTTTGATGATGACAAGGTGAATTTAAGTTTCTTGAAGAATTTTTATACAAGTGTTTTTTGCTTGCTAACTCTTAAAAAATGCAGGATTACTGCTAATGATGCAATGAAACTAAAAGAATAAATGGCCAACGCACGGGCTGCCCTTGCGAAGATGTGTTTTTTGCAGAGTTCCCCGCAGGTTTTTTGTCGCTACCGGCATCGGTTTTTCGGCAGATGCTTCTAGCTGAATTTCAGACTGGCCGCCACAACTGTCAAGGAAAAAATCCCATCAAAATTTTCGTCTTCTAGCTTCTCACGTTTTAGACTGACCACCATAACTGTCAGGAAAAATCCCCTCAAAATTCCAATCTTCTAGCTTCTCACCTTAACTTACCCGGAAGGAACCTTCCACGGGCCTGTACGGTAGGTACCACGCTTACCCGCGGGCAGGGCTTGAACTCGTTAATACCCATTTAGACAGGGAACACCTCCTTAAGATTCCAGCTGCCTAGCTTCTCAGAACCCCGAGTTATTAATTTACGCGGGAAAAATCTTGAGGAGCCTGTACGCGGGTACTACGCTTACCCGGGGGCTAGATTTGAGCTCATTAGCACCTGCTTGGATGGGGAACATTACCCCAAGTTTTCAGCCCTCTAGCTTCTCAGATCCCCGAGTTATGAACTTACCCGAAAAAAGTTTTGGCGGGTTCGTACGGGGATACCATGCTTACCCGGGGTCTGGT